TCTCTATATATATATATATATATATATATATATATATATATAGGAAAAGTCTTCCCAACGTTTACAGGTGAAAATGAATAGTAATTTCGCATACTGTCATCACCGTCCAAATTTCATCCCGTGGTTACGATTGTATGGTCGTATTTTAGTTTTCATTTTTTTTCTATAAATCAGAATGACCTGAAATTTTGAGGATATGTACATCTTACTAAGGCACATCTAATAAAAATATATAAAAAAATTATCCGTCAAAAAACAATTAACCAAAACACCCCTGAAATTTTTTGGTTGTATTTTAGTCAAATTTTTTATGTAAAATATTTTTTATATTTTTAAAATATTTCCCTATTTTTAATGAATACACACTCTAAATTTCAGGTCATTCTGATTTGTAAAAAATGAAAAAATGAAAAATAAAACACTACCGGACAATTGTGACCGCGCGATGAACTTTGGCCGGTGACAGGGGTAGGCGAAATAGCTGTTTATTTTCGCCTATAGGTGTTACATAGTATTTTCCATATATATATATATATATATAATGCTGAGATTAGCCCACTAGCTTATATGAACATATGAGTTTATATGAGCCCAATAGCCCAGATTGAATCTGAGATGGTCACGACCTCATTTCATATTTGAATTTTAATGTTTTTTTTTCTATAAATCTAAATAAATTGAAATTTTAGGCCTGTGTTCTTCAAAATTTGGATACTCTAATGAAAATATCAAAAAAATAATTTACAAGAAATAAATTGACCAATATACCCCTGAAAAGATTTTGAGGTATTTTGGTCAACTATTTATTGCGAATTAATTTTTAAATATTTTTATTACGTGCACTTTGATGAGAAGAATGGATACCTAAAACTTCAAGTTATCTAGATATGTGTAAAAAAGTTAAAATTCAAACACGAAATAAGATCGTGACTATCAGATCGACCAAGACTCAATCTGGGCGGTTTGTATAGAGCCTAGGCTCTAAACAATCAAATGAGAGCCTACCTTGAAATCGTGTTGAGAAATGTGGTTTCAATACTATAAATCTTTGTGATAGTTTTAAAATATTTTTTATTTTTATTTATAAAGTTTAAAGCTCCAAAAATTGTGTAGATTGACAGATTTATGAAAACTTGAAAATATTGAAAATTGACATTTCAAAAATACTTTACAAAATATACTATTTCCAAACCTTGAAATCCATTTTTTTCTATGTCCATACATCTTGATGTTGAGATGATCAATTTGAGGATATTTGAGCATCAAAACAACCTCCTTTCGTGAAATTTTTGTGGTAGGCTCCAATTTGATTGTTTAGAGCTTCCCTCTATATAAACTTTTCCCTATAAGAATTGCTATTTCCATTTTATTTGTCATTACAAGTACATGATATCATACTCTTTCCCACTTTAAATGGAAGGTTTAATATGATTGTCAATTGGTATTGATGAGTATGAAGAATTATAAAACAAATGTGAGAAACGTTGGACGGTGCATATCACTTATTTATCATTGACTAACCACCCATTTAATAGTGGGAAATGTGCATTTGTAAGGTTGGGGTAGCAGCCACCAAATATTGACAAAATGAAAATTTTATCTCAAGGAAAAAGTTTATGTAAGGTCACAAACTTATGAGCACCTCAAAAGTCTATTGGAAAGGGTTGTTGAGAAACTCTCTAATTGATTATATCGATGTTTAGATGTATGATTATGTAAAAAAATAAAGATTTAAAGTTCCAAAAATGATGCATCTTGCAACAGACTATCTAGATCGTTTATTTTTAAGATTTTCATATGTTTATAGACTTCCCTGATTTGAACCATTTTCAGAGTTTTAAAGATTCAAATTAGAGGTGAAAATGGGTTATAAGGCTTTCCTAAGAGTTTTTTACACCAAAATTATATTTTATGATAAAATTTAGAGGTGTACCTTAATTGGATTGTTTAAGGTCACAACTGTATAAAAATTACATCCTTATCTAAATATGTATGAGAGATGAACTATTTAAAATTTTAATCATTTTTTCTGATTAAATTTCAAAATATCCATAAAAAACACACGTGATCGTAAGTAAAAGGAAAAAATTTATATAAGTATGCAACCTTATAATGTAGAACTACGGATGCACATCAAAAATCCATCGGAAAAGATAGTTTTAATGTTGAAAAACGTTTTGATTGATTATCTTGACATCGAGATGTATGAACATGGAAAATAAAAAGATTTTAAGTCTCAGAAATAGTTCATTTTACAACATATTATCTACACCGTCCATTTCCAAGATTTTTATATGTTTATAGATCTACTTGATTTTAACCATTTTTGAAATTTAAAATTTTGGGCATAAATAATGCTCGAATTATAACATGGTTAATGGGCTCATCTAAAAGTAATATAGGGATCAATCTAAGCATTTTCAAAACTGCTCGAGAAGCATGGATATTTCTTGAGGAAATTTATAATCAGACTAATTGGGCACGAAAGTACCAGCTAGTACAGGAACTTCACTCCCTCAGACAGGGAGAGCAATCAATTCGGGATTTTTACTCTTCCATGAAGACACATTGAGATGCTCTAGCACTTATGGAACCTACGATTGAAGATGGTCCTAACGTAAAAATAATTGCCAAATCTCGAGAGGAATCTCAAGTTATTGAATTTTTAATAGTACTCCGTCAAGAGTTTGAGAGTGTCAGAAATGGCCTAGTCCATAAAAGCTCTCTCCATACTCTGAATCGACCCTTCTGAGCTAATTGCTGAAGAAACCAAGATCAAATCTTTTAATTCAAGTTTTAAAGGAGAAACAGTTTCTGCGGCAACCCGACCTTAGAGATCATATATGCCTAAACAGAATCAACGTAATTTGTACTATGTCCCTCCCAAAATATGACATATGTCAAATGTAACTGTTGTAAAGAACTGGGACACATCAAGTACACCAGCCCTAACAAGAAGAAACCCATCTTCGCTGTTGTTGTTGATGCAAGTCAACCATTGCTCAAGTACCCACCAACTCAAATTGCAGGTCCCAATCATACTCTTGTTTCACCAACAATGATATTTACACTGGAATAAGTGCAATTTATGCTTTCACAGTCACACCTGGCTTCTGAACCCACTTCCTCTTTTTCAGATAACTTCGTTTCTACCTCTTGGCTGATTAACTCAGGAGCTTCTCATCATATGACCTCCAATGAGTCCATCCTAGTTAATTGTTAGTCGTTTTCTGATACTATTTATACTGCTGATGGAGCAACTATGAAAGTGTAAAAAATGGGCTTCATATCTCTTACCATTGACTCTTCTGGTAAATTAAGAGTTTGTAATGTTTACCATGTTCCTTCCCTTGCCATGAATTTATTGTCTGTTAGTCAGATTACTTGTTGAAACTGTAATGTTGTTTTTTCTCTTTCTACTTGTTACATACATGATCTGCAGTTAGGGCAATTGATTGGGACTGGGTGTAAAGTTGGAAATTTGTATTACTTGGACTATCTGCATATGCCAACATCTTCTGTCTATGTTATTCCTACTGTTGATGACACATCTCTATAGCATCAACTTCTTGCTCACATTTCTACTTCTTGTTTACAGTCTTTATTTTTCCGCAATGTGCTTGGTACTATTAGAAATAATTGTTTCACTGATGTCCAACATTGTGCAACTTGCAAATTCGCTAAATCTTATGCTTTACCTTTTTCTCGAAGACTGTTTCATCTTTTATGTTTGATCTTGTTCATACTGATGTGTGGGGTCCTGCATCTATTCCATCTAAATGAGGGTTACGCTATTTTGTAATCTTTATTGATGATCATACTCGTTCTGCATAGGTTTTCTTTATAAATAATCGCACTGAATCTTTTAAAATCTTCACTTAGTTTTATTTTTATATAGAAATCCAATTTTTCACTAAAATCAAAGCTCTGCACTCAGATTCTAGATAGGAATACATCAATGGGTTACTTCAATAATTTTTTACTAACCATAGCATTCAACACCACAAAACTTGTCCTTATACACCAGAACAAAATGGTGTTGCCGAACGTAAAAATCATCATATATTGGAAACCACAAGATCCCTTCTTTTTTCTACATCTGTCCCAAAAGAATTTTGGGCAGAAGCTATTCGCACATCAATCGCTCTCATTAACATCATGCCATCCTCCATTTTATTTGACGAAACACCTTTCCAAAAATTATTTACACGACCATGCGATTATTTCCTCCTACATATATTTGGTTGCACTTGCTTTATTTTGTTACTACTAACTGAAAGATATAAGTTATCTCCAAAGATGGTCAAATGTTGCTTTATTGGTTACCCTGATCATAAAAAAAGATATAGGTGTTATGACCCTATGACCAAAAGACTTTGGGTATCCCGACATGTGGTGTTTTTTTAGCACATTTCATTCTTTGATAATAAAACTAATTCCTCACCCTCTCACCTTTCTTTCTTGGTCCCCTTCTTTGATTCTGTTCATAATCCCTCCTTCTGAAGTCTAGGACGAAACTCCACCATCTCATGCTGACAGTCTTGATCAGAATATTGCACCTGTTGATCCTCTTTTGTTCCCTGCTCTTAGACGAAGCACCCGGGTATCTGTTCCAGCGCCTCGACTTGCTCACTATGAAACCTTCTTACCTCAGCACCAAGCATTTTTTGCCTTTGTTCACTCTTTTTTCTGAACCTTGACTTATAACGACGCTGCAAGTCAACCTGAGTAGAAAGAAGCAATGACTGATGAGTTGAATGCTCTCGAGCGTATGCATGCTTGGGGCCTGACACCTCTCCCTAAAGGAAAAACTACTGTAGGTTGTTGATGGTTATATAAAATTAAAAGCAACGCAGATGGTAGTCTAGAACGATACAAAGCCCGCCTGGTGGCAAAAGATTACAATCAGTAGTATGGCATTGACTTTGCAAAAACTTTTGCTCTTATCGCTCATATGACTACAGTTCGTACACTAATCTCAGTAGCTTCTGCTCAACAATGGCCTCTCTATCAATTAGATGTCAAAAATTATTTTCTCAATGGTGATCTTGATACGGAAGTATATATGAAGTTACCTCTTGGCATTGTAGATTCCAAAAAACGCGGTTGTAAATTTCGACAGGCCTTATATGGATTCATACAAGCACCTCGCTCTTGGTTTGAAAAATTTCGTAATGAAGTTCTTTCAGTTGGATTTCAACAAAGTCATCATGACCCCGCACTCTTTATATCTGAGATTTTTGAAGGACGAGTTCTTTTACTACTATATGTGGATGACATGATTATCTCCGGTAATGATCTGGCACAATTCATAAAATCAAACAGAAGCTCAGTAACACCTTTGAAATGAAATATTTTGGTTTCTTGCGGTATTTCATTGGATTGACAGTTACCATTCTCCTCGTGGCTATCTGTTGTCACAGCTAAAATATGCTTCAGAGATTGTTTCTCAAGTTTGACTCCATAATACAAAGAAAATTGATACCCCTCTTGAAGTCAATGCCAAATTTCGGGCTACAGATGGAGAAGTTCTTCTTGACCCAACCTTTTATAGGCAACTGGTTGGAAAACTAATATATCTGACCAATTCATGCCCCGATATTACTTATGCAGTACATATAGTTAGTCTTATTTTTAGTGCCCCGTGTTTTGTACATCTTGTTGTCGTTTTGCGTATCATTCGTTATATCAGGGATACCCGTCATCAAGCCTTATTCTTCTCCTCTTCTACCTCCCTTGAGCTCCGGGAATATGCCGACTCAGATTTTGCAGGAAATTCGAGTGATTGCAAATCTACTACAAGATTATGCATTTCTCTTGGTGATTCTCTTATCTCTTGGAAAAGCAAGAAATAGAAACGCATAGCTCAATTAACTATGGAAGCTGAATACCAGGCTATGGCACAAACCACCACGAGATTGTTTGGCTACGTTGGCTACTCACAGACATGGGAGCCACTATCTTCACTCATACTCCGCTTTAATATGACAACAGAGTGGCATTTATATTTATAAAAATCTAAAATTCCATTAGCACGCATAACATATTGAAGTCGATTGCCACTATGTTCGACAAGAATATCTCGTAGGCACAATTTCTTTACCGTATGTGCCCACTCGCCGATTTCTTCACTAAGTCATATCCCCCGCATTTTTTCTTTCTTTTCAAACTCTCAATGATTCCTTTCAAAACATCTCGAGTTTGAGGGGGAGTGTGAACAAACATGGTAACTACAACTGATATGGCAATTAGATATTGAGATCTGTCAGTGTCTAATTGTATACTATACCTAAATAGAAATTGTATCCATACCTATATAGAAACTATATCATGTAGTTTTAGTAAGTATTGGTTGTACCCTCTCTATAAATACACAATTGTATTGTAATATTATTAATCAATTAAAATATAGAAAGGTTATTTCTCAAGTGGGTTTTTCGCGTTTAAATGAAAAAAAATTGTCCGGTATTCGAAATACCATAAAGCACTTTAAGTTTTTTAAGTTTAAAGTTTGCCGTCCGGTTTTCAATACAACGGACAACTTCTTTTTCTCTCTAAACTCTCTCTCTAAACATCCAAAAGCCCCTTCGCTCCCCTCTTTTTCTATTTCATCATCTCTCTCTTCCCATGAAAATTACCCAACATGGACTCTTTCTCTCTCTTCTCTCTCTTTCCTCTCGCTACCCTCCTTGTTCCCTTCAGCCATGGCTCCATCCGCTCTCCTCTCATGAGCAAAACCCAAAATGGAGCCACGTACCAAGCTATCTTTTTCTCTCCTCTTTATCTCTCGTATATCTTTCTCTCTCCTCTCTCTAACCTCTCCATTCACTGTCAACATATTGTATCGAATCCATGAAAGCCTCTGTAGGTAAATCTAGAGGTGTGTTTGGTGGTTCCTTTTTATCTAATTCGACGTGGGGCTTTCCATGTTGCAATGGTGGAACCATGTCTGAAGAACTTAGGTTTTCAAAGTGTCTAGAATCAATAGAGGGAGGGAAAGATTGACTGATCTGGTTCTTATGTGATGGAGCCTGAGTGATGAGGCCATTAATAAAAACGAAAGGTAAATCTCAGCACCTTCATGTTTTTCATCCTTGCTTCTTTGAACCCATTTTCTTTTCTTGAAACTTTTCATCTTCTGAAACCCAATTTTCAATTGCACTTTCTCTATTGGTATTTTGAGGGATGCCATTGGTGCTTATTTTGGAGAGAGAGGGAAAGGGATAGAGAATAGAGTGAAAAAGAGAGGAAGGGGCTAACGATGAGGTGCGCTAAAATGGAGCGGGGGGAGAGGAAGGGATAGAGAATAAAGAGATAGAGAAAGGGGGGGCTATGGATGATGATTTGGGTTTTCATCATTTCAATACAAAAAATCCACTTTTATGGTATTTGGTTTACCGGAAAGGGGGTAAGGAAAACAAAAACAAGGGGGGTGCTATCCCTAATTTAAGAACAATGTGTTTCCATTTTATAAATGACTCTCTCAACATGGTCTTTACCGGAAAGGGGGTAAGGAAAACAAAAACAAGGAGGTGCTATCCCTAATTTAGGAACAATGTGTTTCCATTTTATAAATGACTCTCTCAACATGGTCTGTAATAATTTTTTTTTTTTTCGTAATGGGGAAGTTTTATATAGATCCCACACGCATATAAAGTATATGGGACAGATTTGACTAGAGGGCTGACTTGAGTTTACAACGTTATCTGTTGTCTCTCAAGTGTCAAATCGCTCAGAGTGTTTTATTTTTAATATTTATTATATAAATCATTTTGTAGCGAAATTTGGAGAAGACCCACCAATCATATAACCATCCTTTTAAAAGAAAGAGAAAAAGTCCTCTTGGAAAAAGTCCTCTTGTAGCTTGAATTTGACAGATCAACCCTAACAAAAAGAAGTCTTGGAGTAACTTAAATCAAGCAATCAAAACAGGCGGGCGCTAGAGTTCCAACGAACTATTGTGCACAAAAATGACCGGTTTTTGGGTATGGCTCCTTGTATTCGCAGCCATTCTTGCAGTGATCCAAATCCTGTTCGATAGAAAGCTAGAAGTCTTAACCTGCCACCAGGCCCACGCCGGTTTCCGGTGATCAGGAACCTGCATCAGCTCGGGAAGCTGCCCCATCAATCCCTAGCTCGCCTCTCGCAACAGTATGGTCCACTCATGTTCATAAAGGTGGGTAGAGTCCCTACCATTGTGGTTTCCTCTGCAGAGACTGCTAAGGAGGTAATGAAAACCCAAGACATGGTCTTTGCAAATAGACATGGCCCCTTTGCTACTGAGAAACTCTTCTATGGTGGAACTGATGTGATTTTTTTGCCGAGTACTGGAGACAGATTCCAAAGATTTGCGTTCTTGAGCTGCTCAGTACAAAGAAGGTACAGAGCTTCCAGTCAGTAAGAGAAGACGAGGTGGCTTCCATGGTTAGTACCATCTCTGGTTTGTCTCATGGTGACCTTGTGAATTTGAGTAAGATGTTCTATACTTTGACTAACTGCATAATTTGTAAAGTGGCTCTGGGCCACTCTGAAAGAGATCAAACTGAATACAGACTTTACAAGATTGTACAGGAATTGAATTCCATATTGAGAAGCTTCTTTGCTGCTGATTTATTTCCATCAATGGGGTGGGTGGATGTCTTCACTGGAATTCGGGCCAGGATCAAGAAGAACTTTCGAGAGCTGGACAGCTTCCTCGACGAAGTGATTCAAAACCACAGGTACAAAGGGGTTCTTGAGCCAACAACTGCGAACAAAGACTTTGTGGACATTTTACTGCAAGCTCAAAAGGATTATAGCCTGGATATTCCTCTCACAATGGATAACCTCAAAGCTATTATACCGGTCATCTTCCACCCAAAAATTTGTTTTCCCTGATATAAGAGCCTTGGTCTGATAACTAGCTCAGGTTCTCCTACCGCGCAGGATATGTTTGCAGCAGGAACAGAGACATCGGCAACAACTCTAGAATGGTTGATGTCAGAGCTCCTAAAGAACCCGGCTGCAATGAGGAGAGCTCAAGAGGAACTGCATCGAGTTATGGGGGTTAAAGGCAAGCTCAATGTCTCTGAAGATGAATTGCCCGAGTTGGAATACCTTCACTCTGTAATCAAGGAGGTCCTTCGGTCGCATCCACCTGCTCCCCTCTTGGTTCCAAGAGAATCAAGGGAGACTACGAAGATCAATGGATTCGATATCCCTGCAAAAACGAGATTCTATATAAATGCTTGGGCCATAGGAAGACATCCCGATTACTGGGATCGAGCAGAGGAGTTCTTGCCAGAGAGGTTTATGAGTAGTGCAATCGATTTCAAGGGGCAAAATTTCGAGTTCATACCATTTGGGGCAGGACGAAGGAGTTGCTCTGGATATTTATTTGCTATACACACTGTTGCGCTCACGGTGGCCAATCTGATCAACCATTTTGAGTGGGAGGTTCCCCCTGGTGGTCTAGACATGGCTGAATCTGATGGGATTACACAGAGGAAACATCCTCTTTTTCTTCTTGCTACTCCACGGTGTTTTTGATTTTGATGTCAATGTATTTGAATTTCCGGTCAGTGACACTTTAAGGGGTGTTTCATATATATAAATGCGGTGTTATCATGATCAAATGGGGTATTGAACTGGTGAAGGGTTTATTCCGGTCAAGGCTAATTCGGGTTTTAGACATTTAAAAAAAAAAAAAAAAAAAATTGTAAAATATAATATATTAATGGACTGGTTAAAACTGATCAAACAACGATTTTGATTCAGTTTTCAAAAACGTGATTCATGGGACAGACTCGGCCCGTGCTTGTGTTGATTTGGAGTTGCTCAATAAAAATATGTTCCAACCTTACCAAGACACACATCCAGAAATCATAATCATCTGGAACACATTGTTGATTTTGAGTTGCTCAATAACAATGTGTTCCAAGAGATGGCGATACTAAATGTGAATCCATCTGATTTCGAGATCGAGATGATCAAGTTAGATGGTTTTCCAATGTCAAATATCTTTTTTTGGTGGATTTTTGAAGTGTGCTTTACTTCTATAGTACAAGGTTCACACCTAATATAACTTTCTTCGGAGAATACATATGTTTGAAGGGTGTATTCCCTGAGGTGAAAACCTATCTAGCAATATTTTTGACCCCAAATTCCATGGGTGAACCCCTCCAGCTAGCAGGAAATGTCCCAGACATAAATGCATCGTATTTGTGCTAGAGAAAATTTAACATTTTGAAATTGAAAATACGACCTCCCATTTTTGGCAACCACATTAAGTGTTTAGAAAATCGAAATCAAATTGTAGTTTTCTATTGGAAAATGTGTTGACGCCTTAAGTTCTAAAATTAAAGTGAACCTCAAAAAACACATCAAAAAAGGCTTTTTTTTATGTGATCAACTTGATGTCGAATGTATAGTTATAGAAAAACAAAAATTTTAAATATTAAAAATAGCACATCTTGCAATACATTTTCTAGACATTTTATTTTCAGGATTTTTTTGTGTTTATAGGTATACTTGATTTGGACTATTTTTTTAGTTTAAAATTTTTAAAAAATTATAAATACCCCCAAAATTAAATTTATAAACATACTAGCCTCCAATACTTTTAGTATCACACCCTACACCCCAATGCTACTGTATTTTTTTTGTATTTAGCCGTCAAAAAGTCAACTAGTTTAAGATTAAAATGCCCTTACCCTCTCTCTTCCCCTATATTTAGAACTCACGTGTAATTAGGCACTCTTCTCTCCATCTATGCGCAAACCCTCTCTCTCTGAATGACCCATTTCATTCTCTCTTGTGCCCAAGCTCTCTCTCTATAGAAAAGCTCGTTGGAAAACTTAGATCCCGGCAGCTATCTCACCGGTAAAATATCATTCCCATTTCACTACTACCTCACCAGTAAAACTCGCTGGAAAACTTATATCCCTGCGACTCACCAACTCAGTAATCATTGTTAATATCAAATTTCGGCCGTCCTATCAACCCCAAAATCACCGGTCAACTCAGACTTCCTAGCATTTTTTAACATGAAGTTCACTACAAGATCAGCAAAGGCCCCCATTATAAACTTATCATCTCGGCCATCGATTGCCGAAAATTGACTTACGGATCCAACAAATGCGTCTTGATCGCCACAACTCTACCCAAAATTTTAGGCATTTATTCTTCTCATCAAAGTGCATATAATAAAAATATTAAAAAAATATTTCACAAGATATAAATTGATTAAAATATCCCTGAAATGTTTTGGGGGTATTTTGGTCAATGTAGTTTTCACAAAAAATTTCTTAATATTTTTATTAGATTCTCCATTTTTTAAAAAACACACACTCAAACTTTCAAGTGATTTGGATTTATATAAAAAAAATTAAAATTAAAATTAAAATTAAAATACCAAATGCAATCAAGATTATTGGATCAGCCCAAATTCAATCTGGGCCGTTGGGATTATATGTAGTTACAGGCTAGTGGATTTATGCCAGCTTTTTCCTTACTTAATTATAATGATGAGGAGCAGAAGCTGGGTATGGCGGATGATATCAATGCAGTGGAAGCTGGCGATGGAATAATGTTGGAAGGGGAGGGCATGGCTATGGTGGAAGCGAACTGGGAACAACCAATTGAGATGTTTCCACAACCTGAACCTTTGCTCCTGCACTTTGTCAACGACAGGGAAGCTGTGAGTTTGGAATTACCACTGAAGATGATGGTTGATGAAGTGAAGGAGTCGGGTGGTATTGTTGGCTCTGTTGCTGTAAGCGCTGATAGGTGTTTTTGGAGATCTGGAAGTGTCGACCGCTAATCCTTCTGGTGGAATGCGTCAGGCTGTTACTGAAGACAGGCAATTGGCCTCAATGATTGATGATTGTGATCTCTCTTTTGAAGTTCCTTTAGTTGTGGTACTTCAAACCCTTAAGGAGAAGATGAAGGTGTGACAAAGAAGGGGAAAGTGGAGGCCGCGAAAGACTCTTTCTTGGCGCCTTCTAAGACAACGAGTGCCATGCCAGGCTTACCCAATAAGGAGAATCGTGCAGTCAGATTCTCAGCCCGGCTGGCTACTAAGAGACTGAGGACTAAGCCAATGGAGGGTATAGGATTCAAGGAAGATGTAGTGATCGAAGTGAGTAGTGATTCTTAAAGCTCTAGTGACTATCAAGACGAAGATATGGTCTCTACCGCTGGTGTTGATTTTGGTTCCTTCATGGAGGGGCTAGGTTTTATTTCTCACCCTTAATGATAATTCTTTCATGGAATGCTAGAGGTCTGGGAGACACCAAACATAGAAGTGATATCAAGTTGTTAGTTCAAAAATATAGACCTGATATTGTTATTTTGCAAGAAACTAACAAATGCTCCAAATTTTGCTTTGGTTAGGGAGATATGAGGGCATGGGCCAGTTAAGTTTGAGGGTGTTGATGCTATAGGGGCTTCAGGGGGTCTTTGGATTATTTGGGATCCCCTTTATTTTCATTGTGTGAGTATTGAGAGAAGGGATAGATTTCTGGCTATTTTCTTACAAGGGCCATCTCATGGAATGTCATGGGGTATTGTTAATTTCTATGGCCCTGTGATACCTTCTCTCAAAGAAGCTTTTCTTAATGATCTTGGTGATATTTTGCTTTCTCATAATGTGCCAATTTGTTTTGGTGGTGATTTTAATTTCATTTGTTGGCCAAATGAGACCTCCTCGAATATTGCTATTAATTTATGATGCGACTGTTTAATTCTTGTATTGAACGCTTCTAGCTCTTTGATGTGCCTTTAGCAGGGGCCAAATTTACTTTGTCCAACAAAAGTGATAATAATCTGATCATGTCGAAACTGGATTGATTTTTGGTGACCTAGAATTGGATGAAAGCCTTTCCTCTGACAACTGTCAAAGCTTTGTCAAGACTTTCATCTGATCACATTCCCTTATTGCTTAATACTAGTTTAAGTAATAGTGGGAGTAAGCCTTTCAGACTGGAGCTAGTTTGGTTAGATGAATCGGGGGTTGTTGACCTAATTAAAGCTACTTGGGAGATTTCTATTAACTTTGGGTCGATGGATTTTCAGCTTCATAAAAAGCTCCTCAATATTAAACATAAATTGGTGCTATGGAGATTTGAGAATTGGTATTCGATTAAAACAAAAATTGATAATGTCCTTGGTGACATTCAGAGGTGGGATCAAGACATTCAACAATCGAGCCTCATGTCTGAGGCTGATTTGGGGTTGAGAAATAATTTGTTGTCGTCCTTGGATGCCCTTACTAGAATGGAGGAGATTTATTAGAAACAAAGGTCTAGGCTTGAATGGATTAAACAAGGAGATCGTAATACAAAGTTTTTTCATGCTATAGCTAGTGCACGTAGGAGACAGAATGACATGTTTGGTCTGGTGATTCTTGGGGTTGCTGATAGCATAGCATGGGAGAACAATATTCTGCCTCATTTTCATAAAGCTTTCTCCACAGAAATCCCATTCAAGCCCAAATTGGCCAGGCTGGCCTTTGCGCCTATCCCCTCCTCAGTAGCGGACAATCTGGAAATAGGGGTTTTGATGGAAGAATTAAAGCAAGCGGTGTTTAAACTCCTTGGGAGATGGTAACGGATTTCATGAAGACGGGGGAATTTTTTAAAGGTATAAATGCTACTTTTAGAGCATTGATTCCTAAGAGGTCTGTTATTTCTTCCCTCTTAGATATTAGGACAATCAGTCTCCTCACAAGCCTTGATAAAATTGTGGCTAAAATCCTTGCTGAAAGATTGAAAACGGTCATCCCTATGCTTATCACGGATACGCAGTCGGCCTTTATTAAAAAGAGGTTGATTTCAGATAGTGTCTTAATTCTTCAAGAATGTATCCACTTAATACTGTTAAGTAGAAGACCGGGTGTAGTGATTAAGCTGTATTTGGAGAAAGCTTATGACAAAGTGGAATGGTGAATACTGTTAGAGGTTATGAAACATATGAGTTTTGGACATAGATGGAGAAATTGGATCTTTGGGTGTCTTTCGATGACACAATTCTCTATTATCATTAATGGAAGCCCGAAAAGCTTATTCAGAGCTTCTAGGGGCTTTGAGACAGGGTGACCCACTATCACCCTTTCTTTTTACTTTGTATGCAGAATACTGTAGTAAAATGATTTGAAATATTGTGGATCGAGGGCATTTTTCAAGCTTTAGGGCATCTCATAATGGTCTTCAAATTTCTCATCTACAATATACTGATGATACATTGCTCTTTTATGATGCAAATAGAGGGCAAATTGATAAGTTTGAAAGGTTTTGATTTGTTGTGAGGTGTTAATGGGGTTGAAAGTTAACTTTGGGAAAACGGCAATGATTGGGGTGAATTGTGATGAGGAGCTGGTTAGAACTTTAGTGTTGAGATTTGGGTGTAGGGTCGACAAGTTTCCCTTCAAATATTTGGGTTTGCCAATCTCAAATGGGACCCTACCCATTGCTGTTTGGGACTATGTCATACAAAGGGTACAAGTTAAGCTTGATCGATTGAAGCCAAAGTACCTATCTATGGGGGGCCATGTTACCTTGCCAAACTCTTGTTTAGCAAATCTACCAATATACCAAATGTCTCTATTGCAAATGC